ACTCCCCCTCAATTTATCTTTAAAAAACCTTCTCAAAGAAAATCAACTTTATTTGGTGAATTGAAACGTGCCTTTAAACCTCCTTCAAGATCAAATTCTCAAAAATCTTCTCATAAAAACATTCAAATCTCAAAACACGGTAAATGGGGCAAACATCTTGGTTCCGGTGTTGGCGGTTCCGTACGATTATTCTATCGTTCTAGTGATAACAAAAAATTAGCTATAAAAGAATTCAGATCTCGTTTTTCTTATGAATCGGAAAAATCTTATCGTAAAAAAATTTTGGCTGAATTTTGTATCGCTTCAACTCTTCATCATGAAAACATAATTGAAACAATAGATATTGTACAAGAAAATGATCGTTTATACGAAATTATGGAATTTGCTCCATATGATTTATTCGAATCTGTAATGAGCAAAAAGATGTGTGAAAACGAAATTGCTTGTTGTTTCAAACAATTAGTTAACGGTGTACATCATTTACACGAAATGGGTATTGCTCATAAAGATTTAAAATTGGACAATTGTATGTTGAATGAATCGGGAATTTTAAAAGTAATCGACTTTGGTTGTTCTACCGTCTTTAAAAGTCCTTTCGATAGTAAAATTTCTTTTTCAAAAGGTAATTATTAATCATTTTATTTATCTTTTATTAATTTTTTGATTTATTTTATTATATGATATCTAACCCTTCGTTTTTTTCTTTTTAGGTCCATGTGGATCTGATCCATACATTTGTCCAGAATCTTATAACAAAACTCCTTACGATCCTCGATTAGCCGACATCTGGTCGCTAGGAATAATATTCATTTGTATGCACATGGGTAGATTCCCCTGGATGATTGCAAAAACGAGCGAAAATTCATTCAAGGCATTTCTTTCAAATCCTGATAGATTATTTAGAAAAATTCCCGAAAAATCAAGACCATTAATCAAAAAAATGCTCGATGTAAACGTAGAAAATCGTGCTACTATAAAAGATATTTTTGATGATGAATGGTTTAAGGGAATTGAAGTTTGTACTAGTCATGTAACATCAAAAGGTCATGAACATCATTTGGTGGAAAGTCGTGAAAGTGAATCGTAAATATTTCGTAAATATTTCGTAAATATTTCGTTTTAGAAAAAAAAAAAAAACTAAAACATATTACATAGTAAATTTTTGTATATACATATTACATACGTATTTTTCCATTGTAAGATAATAAAAAAAAAACATTCTGTTAATTTTACTTTGAAATATTTCATACGTATCAGATGTCGATAAAAATGAATAAAATTAACTGGTATAATGCTGTAATGTTAAACATGTTAAACAAAGAAAAAATCATGTGATTTTCGGGATTTTATAATTCCGGATATTCCGATGTCCTCGGATATTCCGATATTCCGATATTTTCACTATTCAATATTCCTTTTTTATACGTAGACGCTGCATGTAATCATGATTGGTTAAGTTCGTAAATTATCGATAAACATTCATTAACTATTTATTATACATATGCTCGTACGTACTTACTACGTATATGTACGATATAACAAAGATTTTTGCTCTAAATTTCAAAATTTTTTAAAATGAACGTAATAACTTATCATTAATAACATTAGGTTAGATTGGAATTGGATTTTCGGGAGGATTAAAGGCACGTTTCAATTCACCAAATAAAGTTGATTTTCTTTGAGAAGGTTTTTTAAAGATAAATTGAGGGGGAGT